TAGGAGTGAAATACTAGAGGGAAGGCAGCTAGTCAACCCACCGCCAACTTTTGGGCTACTCTTTTACCAACGAATAGTGAGATTGACCGTCACGTTATAACGCCCCCACGGCTGAAAGAGCGAGCATGTTTGGTGGGACGGGGATTCGAACCCGCGACCCTCAGATTGCGAGTCGAGTGCCCTAACTACCTGGCCATGCCGGGCCTTGCATACATAGAGAAAATTATAACAACGACACCTCAGACGTTGTGAGTTTGTGTCTAATAGTTTCTAAACATCAAAATTAACTGGCAAAATGATTAAACTAAGGTCAATGGTTACTGATGTTATCAAGTTTACCTGATAAGCTAAATTAATCCCACCTTACAAACAGAAACTTGTGGGGAATTTTTTTATCTTTCTGGTGGGGATTAAAGTGAGGAAAAATCATTTGGTACTCGATGAAAAAAAAAAAACAATACTGTTGCTCATAAAAAGAATGACTTGCTTAATGTTTTCAGTGCAAGTTTCTAGGACAAAAATAGTTAGGTATCAATTGGGGTCATGAGTTTAGTTAGGGGTTTAGCACAAGACTGAGTAAGGTATCACTTGGGATCACCAGTTTAGTTAGGGGTTTAGCACCAGACTGAGTAAGGTATCACTTGGGATCACCAGTTTAGTTAGGGGTTTAGCACAAGACTGAGTTAGGTATCAGGAATCTTGTGGAAGTTATTAAGTGTGGTTAGAAACATCTGAAGCTTTTCTCGTTCCGAGTTTACACAATTACCAGGTCCATTCATCAATTAAAAATCAGATAAACAGAAAAGTAGAAACTATCAAAAAATTAAACAATAAGGTAATTGTCAATGTCATCAGTTTAACAACCATCAAGGCAAGAGGAGTGAGTCCGACTCCTTGTAGGCCTATCTCAGAAAATCTTGGAAAAATATTTAAATATAATGTGTAGTTTAATACAACTGCTACATTCCTTTCTTTTTTCTGCGAGATATTGTTTATTATCTACACAAAAACTTATGATTATTTATAAATAATTATAACTACACCTTGTGAAAGTCAATGTCTGAAGTCTGTATTTTATTGCTTCTATAATATGTTAATCCCACTTTATATTCTATGGGATTTTACAATAAACACAGAACTGTACATGCACCACCTATTTATCGATTGGTTCTTTTCAAGAAATAAATGGGCTAAGCAGATATGAAGTAGGCATGTTGAAAAACTTATGTCAAAACTCCTCCTTCGGTTAAAGTAAAACCCATATAACCTCAAGTACATTTGGAAATGCATTTAGTGGTCTTAAATTAGGATATTTATTTTATGGCCCTTATGCCAGATTTTACAATAAGCAAATAAATGACTCGGTGTTGTTTATGTTGGTTCAAATATAAATATCAACATGCAGGGAAAGATTTTATGTTTGATTTATTTTGTATTGAAAATAGTTTTATTCAATAACATGAAAACTAATGGTCAGTGTGTTGACAAATAACGTGAACGAAGAATGTATTATTATTTAGTGACCAGAGTTAATAAGAACAATAATATATCCAATTTTAATTGAACTTTGTGTTTATCTTTGTGCACTTATGAAAATGAAATGAAAAAATAATGATATCATTGATTACAGAAATTAATGAACAAATATCTCCATTCTTTTTATTTATTCTTTACTATTTCTTCCAATTTTAAAGGAAGAATTTTTAGGTTCAATAAGAGCTATCATATATTATGGCATTCTGGTCGTCATGATAAATAAGGTAAGTCAGCAACATAAAATTAGGTAATAACAAAACCAGAACCATGTCTTCTGTTTTATACATAAACTTACTTGTCCCATTAACATTTCGGGAAAGAATTCGGTTTCCCATAAATCCCACTGGACTTAAGGCTGAAAGAGGAAGTCCAGATGATCCGGAACCCGAACCTTGACCAGGCACTGATGTGGGTGTGGCATCAGAAGTGACAGGCACAGGACAGTGGTTAAGGTAGTCACGAACTTGTTCCATTGATGGACTACTACAGAGTGGCTGTGTAAAACAAAAAGTTATCGTGGTTAAATGTTAAACTCAGGATTTTAAGTGGTGAAAATACCATTTTCTTTTATCAAAGAATACCCAAGACTTGTTTAAAGACAACTACTAAACCAACTAATTAACATAAGAAAACATTGGAACAAATAAAAAAGTACTTATGTGGCTAATAGTTTACATTTCATATGTAAGTGTTTTGGCCACATTATATGAAAGTCAGATTGAATAAAAAAGCAAAGTATGTTACTCCAAAAAATATCCCCAGTATTGTAAAGGCTGTTCATATTGATTACATATGTAGTCACGTGCATGTCTCGAAAAGTAATATTTTCACAAAGTTCAAAACAACAACATCCAGATCGCACACACTTCAAGCAAAATTCTAACAAGCACTTACAGTACATTAACCTACCAGATAGTGCAGAGAGTAACTTTAAATGGAAATTAATACAGCTGGCACACTAGGAAACAGTATCGTATATTACATTATGTTACAGAATTTGCTACCTATCTCAAAGCATAGAAAGTACCTGATTCTATAACCTAATCACTTCTAGGCATTATCTACAGTTAGTTTCCATTTTATGTAGTAAGAGATAAACGTAGTAAAAAACAACAAATATTGCAACATACTTAACTCTAGTGTCAACTGAAAAAAAAGACACTGTTGTATCACTCACAGAGCTTATATAGCCCATTTGTGTATAACTTCATATTGTCAAAGTTTTGCTACTGTTAGTGACACATAACTCAACTAGAAGTTAGAATTTTCAAATAGTAATCTCTTATAAAGGAATAAAGGATTCGACTTTGATGTTATTGTAAGATCATTAGATAACTTGCATGAGGTTACAGCCCACTTACTGAACTATCACGAAACTTTGGTGAAAAAATATGAAATAATTATAGGTAGAATCAAATTTATAAGATGAGCCTAAGAGAAAAAAAAACAACTTAAGGTTATGATAAATCTATAGAAAAGACACAAGCTACCCACCAGCACACCATGTAAGTTCTGAACCTCCTGTAATATCCATACTAAGTTATTTGAGAACCTGACTTAAGATCTGAGAGTTGGCTATATAAGATGAACCAGATGAAAAAAATTATACAATGAATTTTAAAAAATTGTTTTTTTTTGTACAAATGTAATTAACTACATGATTCATAAGTTTGTTTCTCACACGGTCTGAGCTTTAATAAGTTATTTAAAAAAAATGATACAGGATTTTAGTATTCAATTATAAAGTTTTGTTTCAAATTGAAATAAAAGTTAAAGCCTGATTCTTAGAAAATGTTGGATAATCTTTTGGCAACTTGTGCTTGTTCTAATTGGTTAATATATGGATGAGTGACCATTTTATTCCTTTAAAATGCATGTTAATTCACAGTTCAGTTAGCTACTGTGAAACAGTACTAAATCGCATAAATAAATAAACTTAGACAGGTATCAACTAGCCAATTAAACTGAAGCAAAATATCAGAGAGACTACAAAAAAAAAAAAAATGGTTGACTAAGCAATTTCCTCCCACTGAAAGAAATATTCACATTATCTGCTCTGTGCAAGAAAGCCCACCCCCTCCACAAAATTCCAGGCAGGTCTTAAGAAAATCCATTGTCTATTAAACAAATCATTTCATTAGAATAGCTTATTTTTTTATACTTCATGAGTCCACTCTATTTACAAAGTTGACTGTACCTTGTACCAAAAACGTTTTCTTGAAATTCTGTTCAATAGTTTCTTGTAATTAAACAGATATAAATTTCTATGCAAAGGTAAATTTCTTTTTGAAGCTATTTCCAAAACAACAAATTTATAATGATTAAATCAGTCAACTTATTTGTGTTTGTAAAAATGTACTAAAATAATAATGAAATCAAGAAAAGATAACTTCCTGTTACCATGAAAATGACCTTTTTTTTAAAAATAACATTTCATGTTTCTGATGGCAGTCTTTGAAGAGTAAAAACTTTGGTAAATACAACGAGTTAAATGTTTGTAGCTTCATAAACATACATTAAACAAACTGAGATAATTTGTTCATGCGTATATTTTAGCTACGAAATTTGGAAATGAATATTCACAAATGCAATGAAACTGGATAGAACAACTGTTATATTTTTACATACATTATCTCACTAAGGGGAAGAAACCAAACAAAAACTGTGAAGCTCAACATTATTAACAATACTCTTGTTTCAATTATCCTCTGGTATTAAAAGAACAAACACAATTATTTTGGGGTCAAGTATTTTGGATAACAATGTACTTATATGTACTTTTGAAAGCTTGTTTCAATTATCCTCTGGTATTAAAAGAACAAACACAATTATTTTGGATAACAATGTACTTATATGTAAGTATGCTCTTTCAAAATGTGCAACGTTGTAATACTTATACACATTATATAGCATTATACAAAACCAACTGTTGCTAGTGGTAGGGCAAATAGGATTTTAGGTTGTATCTATAGAAATATTGAACACAAGTCTAAAGAGGTTATACTTTCATTGTACAGGTCACTGGTTAGGCCACATTTGGAATATTGTGTTCAGTCTTGGGCTCCTTACCTTAGGAAAGACATTGAATTGTTGGAAAGGGTTCAGAGAAGGGTTACTAGAATGGTGCCTGGGATGGAGGGGTTGTCATATGACGAGAGGCTAAAATCTCTCAAATTGTTTTATCTTGAAAAAAAGAAGAGTTGGGGGGGGGATCTGATTGAGGTGTTTAAGATTGTAAAGGGAATTGATAGTGTTGATGTATCATCTTTTTTTTTCATTTAACAAAGAGAATATTAGGACTAGAGGACACAAATATAAATTTTGGCAAGGTAGGAGTCATCTTCAGCTAAGACAGGGTGATTGGCCTTTGGAATGGGTTGCCTTCAGATGTTGTAGAGGCAGTAAATTTAAGTGAGTTTAAGAAAAAGCTTGATAAGTATATGAATGAAAAGGGTTGGGTTTAAAATTTTATTATTATTATTTCTAATAATTTTAATTTAGTTCTGAGGATGGAACAGCCAAGATGGACCAATAGGTCCCATGTTGCCCCAAAATATTATGTTATTCTATAATGATACCAAAAGCATTGTACTTTTAACGATACTCATACACTCGAGTTTCATATGTGAGACACTGTCAACTTATCTTTTTGAAATATAACTTTACAGTAGATAATACTATATTTTATCTTACTATACCACAGTAAAAATAAATTTAAAAAGAAACTTGGCTAACGTGTGCAAGTATTTTCTTGTATTTTAAACATTTGGGACATAAGACAAAGTATAATTAAAAGAGAAAAACCATAATTGTTACAGTCAGTAACATGCATGTGACAACTTTATCAACATTTCTTACATTTCCTACCCTCTTCTAAAGAATGCAAGGATAAAGCTTTTACTACTTCCAGCAGGGGTGCACTGTGTCTAGCCCTTCTAATAAGGTTAACCTGAAGACTCTGGTGAGACATGAATGTAACCCAGATAATTTTGAATAGCTCCCACTCTTCAGGAGGCTATTTTCTTGAAAAGGTCATCCTCAATCTGATTTGTTCTGGACAATGTTCAGGAAGTTCATTACTACACACATTACAATGAAGAGTCAAGTCTGAGCATTATAAATCAAAGATGTATATGAGAAGCCATTGTGGGATGGTTATCATACACTCAGTAACAAATTATATTCTTCAAACAATAGCATTACTGTAGAGAATGTATCTTTTGTTTACTGATACATTAATCTGTATATTCAAACAACGTACTTTACATGCATATGTAAAGACATTATTTATCAATGCTTATTTTATTTCTACAGTCCCCCCCCCCTAAAAAAAGAAGATTTTTCAATAATCAATGTTTATTTTTAATCACTGAAATGAAAATATAACATAATAGACATATTTTCTCAACCACAAGTACAAAAGAGAAAAAAAAACTATTTCTAAGAATAGCCCAAGAGATTATGAAAACACTCAGACAAAAGATGTGACCAGATCAGAGAGGTGGTTAACAAGACAACTTATAATATACATTTAGTCTTAGATGACCAAAAATAGTAAAACATACATTTTAAAATCATAAATTAAAATACAAACCCACAATATTAATTTAAAACAATTCATTGATAATACCCGAAAGTCTGTTAGCAAATAACAAAGGGACCTGACTACATGTATTAGAGAGTTCAGTTTTTTAGACCAACAAACTATGCCTGTACATGTGGGTCTCAACCACAGCTATCTCAACTTTGACAAACACAACACAATTTTCACATCAACAAGGAATTTACAAAGAATATACATAATTTAACCTTTTCAACGCAAGTTACAGCCAATATCATTGTAGGTTTCATAAGTGATTTATGATTGAAAGAAAACGAGAGCTTTCCAGCATACACCATAATTTCTTTTGGGAAAATATATATACTGATAGAAAATTGTGAATGTCAAAAACTGTATTCGTATTCTGCAAGAGTGTAATTTAAAACAAATAACAATTAAGTCCAAAGGTCTGCTACTACCTAGTAGTTAACTAACAAATAAAAATACAAATTATGAATACAGTAAAATATATAAAAGCACATAATCACATCCTTAATGAGTTATTCTATTCAAAGTCAAATTAAACAGTGCATCACCCAATGCAACAACACAAAAATTATACCCAAAAAATAAATCATCACTCAAAGTCATCCACATACAAACACACAATAAGCATCTCAGTAGAACTATGCATGTATTATATAGTACTATCAAATACTTAATATTAATTAACTGTTTAACATACATGTGTAACTGAGTCAGAATTATTATAAAGTGCCTAAAAGCAAGTGCTAATGTGAACAGTTTAGCTACATTAACTGAGCACTCGCCTGGCATGCAACAGTAATCTGGTTCCATCTCAAGCCGAGAAATAAAAAGGGAGATGAAATACCACACATGATCTCGCTACAACAATTTACTACTAGGCTTGCAAAGTTTAAAGTTATTAACTCT